GGCATAATAATAATAGCTGATATTGATGAAGTGCTTACTGTGTGCTTGTACTTTTCTCCTTAATCCCCATGACAACTCTGTGGGTAAGCCCTATTAATATTCACATTTTATAAAGCACAGGGAAGTAATGGGAACTTGTGCAAGGTCACACAGCTGCTAAGGAGTGGAGGCAGGATTTGAATCTGCTGTCTGAGTGCTTCCTATATTTCAGCTGCTAGTTATGAGGGTCTTCATATCTCAGCATTTCAAGGGACTTCCAGAGACCATTCTTCACCCCAGAAGCAAGGATCCCCTGTGGGTGTGGGTGTGGGAAGGCTTTTGGGGGCTGCACTGGGGAGGGTGGTGCTGGGAGGAGTGGCCTTTCATATGGAAAAGACCCTTAAGCTGCCAGTTTTATTAGTTTGTTTCATGAGCTCCAGGTCCAGGTACTTCCAGGAAGTGAAATCTCCTATCATAATAACAGTGGGTCAGTTGCCACAGACTGTCCCCTGCATTCACCAAGGAAACTTACCAGAAGGAAGGGAGCTAAAAAGAAGACACCAAGTATCTCCCCTCTCTCCCGCCCAGGATCCCAGGCTGAGGTGGGGGAAAGCATTTCTTATCAGTAGAATTCTTTGTTCCTTCCTCCAGCCAAGTCCCATTTCCCCACAGGGCGTGCTGAGTCCCCAATACTTACTGTTGATGGCCTTATCAATCAACCCAGGTTCCCGGACACCCCAGGAAGATGAGTGGTACCACGATCAGCAGAAGTCCTAAGAGCCCCATTTTAGGAGGAACTGGTCTGGCTGGTGGCACCAAAACTAAGAATGAGTGCTCAGCAGCAACTTCTTCTGAGCTTTCGGTTGCCTTGGCACAGCCTAACACTCCAGGAACCACACATCACTGGAGACAAGCCAGTTACACTCCCTCCTCTGGGGAACACCAAGTCCCCAAGGCCATCAGTGGGACTACCTGGCATCCACAGCACCAGTCCTGGGAAAAGAGGCTCTTGATAGGCAGCACCTAGTCCTCAAGTGAGCTGAGGGTCACTGGTCAACCAAGAAGAGGGGACATAGCTTATCGGGGGCTTCTAGACTCCTTTAGCAGACAGGGTGTTTGATTCCAGGGTCTTTAATTTTTCACGGAGAGTTTGGAGGTCAAAAGTATGCTAGTTCTTGTCTTTCTTTCCAATCTTAATCTTCTGACATGTTTTTCTTTCTGCTTATGTTTCTCACACTGATTGTTTTCCTTCTCTCTGTGCCTCTTTCGTTTACTCTGTGCTTGTCTTTTTCTCTTTTTTACTGTGAGTCTCTCTTTGTCTGGGTCTCTTCCTTCCTGCTTTTCTGCTTCCTTCCTGTCTTTTTCCTCTTTGGGCCACTCTGTTTCTTTAAACCATTGTCCAACAGTAAAGGTATTGCCATGAGTAGCATGTAGGGGAGGAGACAGGTCAATTCCAGATTGAACCAAATCTTCAGAGAGTGCCTGTCAAGATCATGGTGCTTTGAAAGCAGAAGAGAGCCCTGGCCAGTTTGGCTCAGCGGTTAGAGCGTCGGCCTGCGGTCCGGAGAGACCCGGGTTCGGTTCCCGCTAAGGGCACGTACTTCGGTTGCAGTTTGTCCCCGGCCCTGGTTGGTCGTGCGGGTGGCAGCCACTCGATGTGTCCCTTCACGTCGATGTTTCTCTCTCTCTCTCCCTTCCTCTCTCTCCCTCCCACTCTATCTGTACAAAAAATGGAAATATATCCTCGGGTGAGGATAAAAAAAAAAAAAAAAGAAAGCAGAAGAGAATGTGAAAGCTAATGGAGAGCTTCTATCATTGGGTGCAATTTGGAATAGGTGGTGCAGGAGGAAAATAGTAAGTAAATGTCAGTTATGACCTCAGAACCAGGGTGAGGATTTCTGAAGATTGTCCCACTGAACTCTCCAAGGTAAGGCCTATAACATCAGTAAGACATATTCTTAGTTCACCTCTGATGTTACCTGCAGCTGCAGGAGACAGTTCAAGTGCACATTTTTTCTAATCCAGTTTTTATGATTGAGATGAAATTCACATTAATTTATTTTATTTTATTGTTTTTATCCTCACCCGAGGACATTTTTGCATTTATATTCAGAAAGAGCGAGAGGGAGAGAGGGAGGGAGGGAGGAAGAGAGAGAGAGAAATATCGATGTGAGAAAGACACATGGAGTGGTTACCACCCACACAACCCAACCGGGGCTGGGCACAAACTGCAGCCGAGGTACGTGCTCTTAGCGAGAACCAAACCCAGGACTCTCTGGTCCATGGGCCGATGCTCTATCCGCTGAGCCAAACTGGTCAGGGCTAAAATTATTATTTTTTAAATATTTTTCTTTATTAATTTTTAGAGAGAGATAGAAACATTGATGAGAGAGAACATCAATTGGCTGCCTCTGCACGCCCCCCGCTGGGATTGGTCCCACAAGCAGGGCATGTGCCCTGACTGGGGATTGAACCAGTGACCTCTTGGTGCATGGGTCAATGCTCAACCAGTGAGCCACACCGGCTGGGCAAAATTAATTTTTTTTTTTATCCTCACCGGAGGACATTTTTCCATTATTTTGTTCAGATAGAGTGGGAGGGAGAGGATGAGAGAGAGAGAGAGAGAGAAACATCGACGTGAAGGGACACATCGAGTGGCTGCCACCCGCACAACCCAACCAGGGCCGGGGACAAACCACAACCGAGGTACGTGCCCTTAGCGGGAACCAGGAATTGAACCCGGGTCTTGTGGGACCACAGGCCGACGCTTAACCGCTGAGCCAAACCGGCCAGGGCCAAAATTAATTATTTTTGAGTGAACGGTTCAGTGGCTTTTTAGTACCTGCATAATACTGTGTAACCATTACCTTTATTAATTCCAACACATTTCATCACTCACAAAAATGCCACGCCCATTAGCAGTCACTCTTTATTTTCCCTCAGCCAACTCCAGCCCCTGGCAACCACTCATCTATTTTCTACCTCTATTAATTTGTCTATTCTGAATTTTTTTTTTAAATTTTTTTCTTTATTGATTTTAGAGAGAGAAGAAGGGAGAGGGAGAGAGAAATAGAAACATCAATGAGAGAGAACATTGATTGGCCGCCTCCTGCATGCCCCCCACTGGGGATCAGGCCCACAACCTGGGCATGTGCCCTGACCGGGAATCGAACTGGCGACCTCTTGGTGCATGGGTCGACGCTCAACCACTGAGACACACCGGCCGGGCTATTCTGGATATTTTATATGAATGGAATTTTAGAGTGTATGGCCTTTTGTGTCTGGCTTCTTTTACTTGCTGTGGTTCTCAACCCTCCTAATGCTGCGACCCTTTAATACAGTTCCTCGTGTTGTATGTGGGCGTATCTGCATGTGGGCAGACCTGCCTGGAGACGGAAAGAGGGGCGGTGTCTCAGTTCCTAGGTTCCTAAGACCATTGGAAATATGCGTTTTCCAATGGTCTTAGGCGACCCCTGCGAAAGGGTCGTTGGACCCCCAGAGGGGTCGCGACCCACAGGTTGAGAACCACTGACTTAGCGTAATGTTTTTAGTTCATCTGTAGTGTAGCACATCTGTGCTTTCTTCTTATGGCTGAATAGCACCCAGTGCACATTGTTGGCTTTCCACTTCAAGCATCAGAGTCTCTACTTCTCCGCCGTGGGTTTTCTCTGGCTCCCGGGAGCTTGCTCTGACTACATGCAGAACAGCCCGGAAAAACGAGGGATTTCATGACCCCAGACATTCCGTAGGGTATGGAAATCAGTGCGTACATGCCTCAGTTTCCCCACAACTGAAGATGGGTGAAAAAATATGGCATGGTCCCTTAGGCGGTCTCCAGTAGGATTAAGCTACAGTTTCCTACAGTAGTAACCAGCTCATAATCAACTCCTTGCTCTCCTATTTCACTTACCCCACTCCCCACATTTAGCTCCCAAAGAAACTACTTTTACCCATACCATTGTCCTAGGATCTATTTCTGGGGGCTTCAAACTAAGGCAATGCCCATGGGCCCTTGTCTTGAGAGGGTCTTGTGATTTTTTAAAGAAACAGAGGAGGATAACAATATCCCTGGGGCTCTAAACTTTCAAGGTTCTGATTTTCTTCACCCCCTTTGATGGTGTCTCCAGAAGCCCCAGTGAAATTTTACTCTCCACAAACCATAATGTGCCAACAGATGTGTGTCATTCAGCCTCAGAGACACAGGATCAAACAGAGCACTTTATTGGGAAAAATTGGGAGCTACACAGGTATAAATAGGGGTGCTAGAAGTTGGACTATAGAAATGGGATCAAAACAGGATATCTGTATGAAAAGAGGCTGAGAGGGAGGAATGGGGAGGCAGATCCCAAAATTCTGTTTTGGGAAGGAACAGGGCCCTGGAATGCTGGGAGTGGAACAGTGGAAGCCAACCTGGAGTGTCGATCAGGCACACGGACAGAGCCTTGCATCTGAGCCACATCCTGGTGGCGTTCCAGTTCATCCTCATGCACTCAGGATCAGGAGCCTGCTGGGAAAGGACAGCAAACCAGCTGAGCATCTTCGGCTCACCTTATCTTCAGAACTAGTCTTGAAGTTACGTTTGTACATCTTGCCACAGGATGTTAAAGGGAAATGGTTTACTTTGGGAAGCTATAAATCTCCTTAAAGGGAAAATGGATGTGGATAGGAGTAGATTACTAGCAAAGAGTTTAATTAGAAAATTAATGGGCTGAGATGGTTGGTCAACATGTCCAACATTAGGCTGGATGTCCTGTGACCTCTCTGAAGTTGAGTCTGAGATTTCACCACTCCTGCATCCTCCCTCCACCCTTCATACTTGCCAGCTTTCATTCATGACCACATCCCTTCCCAACCTCAGTTCCCAGAAAGCCACTGTCCAACCACCGTGAGATGTATTCTTACCTCCTGACTGGAGCTGGATTGGTCAGCACCTGGTCTGCCATCCTGGAATGGACTAGCCAACACCCAGACCTCCCACGTGGCCCAGGGGAGGATGGGAGATTGGGGCCCTTGGGACTCACTTGTTTTGGAACACATGCTCTGACACAGGTCTTTGGTTTGGAAGTTGTTATTGTTTCCTTGGCAGCCACCATAGATGAAGCTGTAACAGGTATCGTTTTTCTTATCATACCACCACCGACGAAAATAAGCCATGCAGAGACCAGGATCTTTTGGCAAATTGCATATGTCTGTAGGGAGAAGCCAGAGTTGAGAATTTAGAGTGCCCACCCTGAAAAAATACAACTGTTATTGTCCTTCTGGCAACCCCCCGAGATGAAACTGAGCAGGCTCCTTTCACCTTACCACACCTTGGAGGGCCAGCTCCACTGATGTATTGTGCACATTTGTAGGGAGATCCCAAAGTGGAACTGCTTGGGTGTCTACATCCCTGGAGAACATCAGTCGCTCCCTTCCCTTCTGGTCAATGGCCCCACTGTCTCCCCCGAGAGTGAGGAGACTCTGGTTTCGAAGTTCTTTTCCTAATTCAGTGTCTGCCCATTGACCTCCCATTTCTGCAAAGTGGAAATGCAAAATCCCCCCCTGTTTGTTGCACAGGGCTTTCCTGAGGGGCAAGTGAGACCACCCTCATGGCCCTCTAAATTGTGAGCTCCTTGATGATTTTGAATGTGCAGATTCTAGACAGTACTTGGCAGAAAGAAGCTGCTCAATAAATGCACACTAAATGGATAAAAGGTATGGTAGTGCCCTGAAAATTAGAAATTATAAGCCACTTACTCTGCCTTCCAAACCATGCCAAGAAGAGAATATGGGATCATGAGCAAAGTGCAAGTCCATACAGGGAAGGCGAGAGTGGTTTTTCAGATGGTCAAGCACCTTTTCTTCCTGTAGTTAGTTTCAGTCCTTTTAAGGGTTCAATTTCATTCCCCCCTCCCCCTGCCTTCATTCATATGTTAAAGGCCTAACCTTCAGACCTCAGAATGTGACCCTATTTGGAAACAGAGTTCTGAAAGATGTCGTTTGTTAAGATGAGTCATACGGGAGTAGGGTGCATCTCTAATACAATATGACTGATGTCCTTATCAAAAGGAGAAATTTAGACACAGACACATACGGAGAACATCATGTGAAGATGAAGACAGAGGTCTACAAGCCAAGGAACACCAAAGATTGCCAGCAAACCACCAGAACTTGGGGGAGAGGCACAGAACAGATTCTCATGCACAACCCGAGAAAGAACCAACCCTGCCAACACTTGACCTTGGATTCTAGCCCGCAGAACTGTAAGACAACACATCGCTGCTGTTTAGGCCACCCGGTGCCTTGGTGGTCTGTTCCAGCAGCCCTAGCGACCGACACCAGATCGAGCTAAACTGTGAGTTCAGCCGAACAGTCAAGTCCTGTTGACTTTCACTTCATCACAGCTCACCCCTCTGACGCTCTTTTTCTTAAAATTTTATTTATTTATTTTTAAATTACAGTTGACTTCAATAGTATATTAGTTTCAGGTATACAGCATAGCGGTTGGACGTGTCTATAATTTACGAAGCAATCCCCCCCACACACACACCGATAAGTCTAGTGCCCACCTGACATCATACATAGTTTTTACAATATTTTTAAAAAATGTTTTTCAATGACAGTTTACAGTCAATATTTTTGTCTTAGTTTCAGGTGTACAGCATAGTGGTCAGATAGTCATATACTTTACAATGTGTTTCCCCTGATATTTCCAGTACCCAACTGGCACTACATATATAGTTATTACGGTATTATTGACTATATTCCCTATGCTGTACTTTGTATCCCCAGGACTGTTTTGTAACTGCCAATTTGTACCTTTTAATCCCTTTATATTTTTCATTCAGATTCTGACCTTCCTTCCATTTGGCATGCATCAATTTGTTCTCTGTATCTATGAGCCTGTTTCTGTTTTGTTTGTTTATTTTGTTTTTTAAATTCCACATATAAGTGAAATCATATGCATTTGTCTTTCTCTGTCTGACTTATTTCACTTAGCATAATACCTTCTAGGTTGATCCATGTTGTCGAAAATGGGAAGATTTCATTCTTTATTATGTCTGAGTAATATTCCATTGTATATATGACCATATCTGCCACTGTATTTAATTTAAGTCTCAGTATCTCATACCTGGGCTGTTGAGATAGCCTCAAAATTGACCTTCCTGCCCCTGGCCCTGGCCCCTCCAATCCATTCTTCATGCTGTCCCCAGAGAGAACGTGATGGATCTAAAACAAAGCTGATCACATCATTCCACACCAAGACCTTGACTTCGTGACCAAGTCTCCTCATGACCCACAGGCCCTTCATGGTCTGGCTCCTGCTTGTGGCTCTGGCCTCCCCCCCCATGGTACCCTTCTAAGCTACATGTTCCTGCAACTTTCAACACACCATGCCATCACACACCTCTCACCCCATATTCCCTCTGCCCACCCCACTGTTGTTCCTTAGTGACACTCCTATTTTTCCTTCAAAACCTTTCTCAGAAATCGACTCCTGTACAGTATCTCTGACTCTATTTTGCATGCCACACCCCTACAGGTGCTGAATTGACCCTGCTTTCTTCTATGATGCTTCTGAGTCGTGTGTGCATGTTTGTCATTTGTCACATCTCAGGTTTCACTCGTGAGGTTGTCAGTTTCTTGAGCAGGTTTGTGTCTGATTTCATCTGGGAACCCCATTCCTAGTAGGAGGTCTGGCACAGTATAGAATTTGGCAGAAGGTTGAGGGTAAAAAAAATAAATGAATCAAGAATATTTGACCTGGACTGAATAAGTCATTCACTGAGCACCTACCATGTGCTAGACAAAGAAAAGGTTATTCAGCTTACTGGATCCTCCACATAACCTCAAACACTGGTATCTGAGGAAACTGAGGCACAGTGAGGGAAAGTTGTTAATTTGCCCAAGGTAAATTGGCTGGCAAAAACTGGACTAAGATTTGAACTCAGGAAGTCCGAATTCAGAATCCACCTGCAGGCAAAAGTTACCATCCTCCTGCCTTCCCACTCTGCTCCATTGTCAAGTCCTGTTTTCTTTACCTCCTAAATACTCTCCAAACACATCCTACTCTCCCCCACCCCCTCAGCTACCTCCCTCATTTAAGCATTTCCTTGCATCCTGAAGTCCTTTAAGACATCCCATCCCTCCTCTGCAGGCATAGTAAAAACCTGTTCACGTCACCACCCACCTCAATGGATTTCCATTGCTCTTAAGATCAAAATGAGACTCAAGCCCACCAGACCCCACCTACCCACTATCTTTTTTGCCTCGTACCGTGCTCTCTAGACTCCACTATTAAGTACATGGTATTTCCTGCACCTGGAAAGCCCTTCCACCCACTTTTGGCCTAAATTTACTACCCACCTTTCTGTTTTGTTTCGTGTGTGTGTGTGTTTAAATCCTCACCCAAGGATATTTTTACATATATCTTCAGACAGAGTGGGAGGGAGGGAGAGAGAGAAACATCGATGTGAGAGAGACACATCGACTGGTTGCCACCCACACCACCCCAACCGGACTGGGGACGAACCACAACCGAGGTATGTGCCCTTGGCTGGAATCGAACCCAGGACTCTTTGGTCCATGGGCCGATGCTCTAACCACTGAGCCAAGCTGGCCAGGGCTACTACCTTCCTTTCTGAATTCAACAACCGGTTTGCTTTCTCAGGGAAGCTTTTTTCAGCCTCTGACCACATTGGTCAAATCCTATTGAGTCTCAGAAACTCAATATTTGTTAAATGAATAAAGAATCTTTGATAGTCTCTCGGGAACCCAGGGAGATGGGCATGGAGTGAGGACTGTAGCAGCAAAGGAAAACTCTCCAGTCTGGAGGGGGTGAAGGGAGATTTCCTGGAGCTCAGTCAGACTTTTCAGATTAGGCGGAGAGGCAGGCCCTCTAGAGCAAGAAGCTAGGCGATACGAAATGAAGATATTACCTAATGTCAGACGTCATATTTGGGGCAGGGAAGAATGGAGATCCCAGTTCCCCCCAGTCCAGCAATGTTGCTCAGGGACCCATCCTTTGCAAACCAGGGACAAAGCCAGCCCAAGCAGGCAGAGGGTGAGGGCTTGGGTAGAAAGCTTTGTTATTCCAAGAATAAATAATACCTTGATGGAGGTCTAAACATTTTTTTCCACAGTTGAAGATACAGCACTTCTTCTTGTCCGGACAGTTTTTGTCCTTTGTACACATATCCCTTTCTTTGAGGTCACATTTCTCTCGGATTCTGGGGCATCTCCCTGCAGAGAGAACAGTCTTACCACCCTCAGTCCTGGAGGGCACAGTGCCCGCTCTTCTCCAGACCCAAGGCAACTCTGGGGAGTCAGGGAAGTTGACTTTCACTTGGCTCATCCCGGGAATCCTTTTCCTCGGGGTGTTCTTAGTAGTTCCCAGCACTGTCTACACTGCGCTCCCTCCTGACCACTCCTCACTCTCTGCCTTCTCATCCCGTCTCTAGTCCCACCCCCAGCCCAGCTCCTCTGAGGCAGGATTTCTCAACCTTGACACTAGTAACATTCCAGCTGGTAATTATTTGATGGGAGGGGACAGCTGTCCTGTGTGTCACTGAACGTTGAGCAGCATCCTTGGCCTCCATCCTCTAGATGCCAATAACAACCTCCTACCCAGCTGTGACCAAAAATATCTCCAGACTTGCAAATGTCCCCTGGAAAGCAAAATCATCCTATTAAAAGCCACTGTTCTAGGTTTTTAATTCTTAACTTTTGGTTTACCGCTTACTCTCTCTGAACCTTGGTTTCTTCATTTGTAAGATCATTTTAGCCTTACAGAGTTGTGAGAAGGAAATGAGACAACATGTGTAAAGCTGTGATCATAGTAACTGATGCACAGTTATATTAACTAACATGTGTTAGGTGTTTACCATAGGCTGAGCACTCTTCTAAGCATTTGCAAGGTTCTCTCATTTAATCCCAATAATAGCTCTAGGAGATAAGTTCTATTAATATTCCCATTTTGCAGATAAGGAAACTGAAGCACATGGGATTTAAGTAACTTGACCAAGGTTGCATGGCTACTAGGTGGTAGAACCAGAATTTGGACCTACCAAGTCTGACTCCAGATCCTTCTCTTTAAATCCTTGCTTTCTGAATGTTCCGTAAACGATAGCAATAATCATTATTACTACATAGTCATGGAATATTACCGTCTTAAGTTCAAAGGAACTTCTGGATACTGACTGTCCTTTATCCCAACGGAACCTTTGAGGCTGCAGAGCAACTTTACGGGACGGTATTTGAAAGGGTCAGGAATTGATAGGGATGCTGTCCTGAGAAAGGGAGCTATTTTTGTTGTAGGGTAAGGGGTTGTTCCCTTAGGCTCCTGGATTCTTTTTTTTTTTTTTATCCTCACCCGAGGATATTTTTCCATTTTTTGTACAGATAGAGTGGGAGGAAGAGAGAGGAAGGAAGAGAGAGTGAGAAACATCGACGTGAAGGGACACATCGAGTGGCTGCCACCCGCACGACCAACCAGGGCCGGGGACAAACTGCAACCGAAGTACGTGCCCTTAGCGGGAACCGAACTCGGGTCTCTCCGGACCGCAGGCCGACGCTCTAACCGCTGAGCCAAACTGGGCTCCCGGATTCTTATAGACCCTCCCACAAATGCTATATCCTACGACTCTTCCCAGCCCTTTCCCTTTTCCCCCAAGAAAGACCTTCTACTTCAAAGGGGCTGAAAGTAGGGGTTCCCTTAGGTGCGGATTCTTGCATTCTCCGAAGGGATCTTCCACGGAGAGGGAAACAGAAAGAAATATTCCAAATATCTCTCTCCTTTCCCAACCCAGGACCAAGGCTAAAATAGTGAAAAGCAACTCAAATCTGAGGGATAATTGTTCCTTGTTCCTCCTTACAGCAACCTTCCCACTCTCCGGGGGAGGGGCTGAGACCCCAGTACTTACTGGGAGAGATCAAGTCAATCAGATTAAATCCTTGGACATGCATCAGAAGGACGGCTATCACCAGGATCCTCAACAGTCCAGAAGACACCATTCTGAAGAACAGCTGGCCTGTCTGTCCGGTGTTTCCGGAACATAGAAATGCCTGGCTGCCTTTGTCCAGCGTATGTTTCCAGTAGTCAGTATCTTGGCTATGAGATCGGGAGTCAAGCCAACCACCCTCTTTCTTCCTGGGAACGCCAAGTTCCGAGATTATCAGTGTGACTAGCTGGCACCTGTAACCCACAGCCCTGTGGAAAAGTCTCCTATTGGATGACTCTTGGTTCGTAGCCTCTTGGACTGAGCTGGGTCCTCTGGTTCACTGGGGCTGCGGGGTGGGGAGTGAGGGAGGCTTGTCTCGTTTTCTAGGCTCCCTTAGGAGTGAATGGGGTCTTTTTGATAAATTTGAGGGTTGTGGAATGTCCTCATTCTCTATTCCTTTTCCATTTTATCTGTACGCTAACGGGCACACCCCTTCCGTCTCTGACAATGTATCTTTTTGATCTCTTGGTATCTCTTTGCTTCTCTGTGCCTCTCTCTGTCTATGTCTGACTTTTTCTTTTTCTGTGCATCTCCCACGATCTCTGTGTCTCTTTCTCCCTTTCCCACGCTCTCCTCCCACCCCTCTCCCTTGTCTCTTTAGGTCACTCATATTCTTTGGCTAAGGCCAAAGAGTAAGGATGTTGGCCCAGAGCAGGGTGCAGAGAAGGAAGCAGGCTGATAGCAGAGTTTGCAGAGAGAGTTGGTCAGGGCTGTGCTGCTTTGAGAGCAAGAGAGAATGTCAGAGTTTATAGAGAGCATCTACCATCTGGTGCAAACTCCCTGTTGTCCGAGGAGGAACTATGAAAGGAACCAGCCTGAGAAACTACAATAATGGTCAATAAGGCAGCAGAGTTGCTGGATTCCAACTGGAATAGTGGAGGGACCATTAAAAAGAGAGTGCTTGGTAGCTTTCCTACAGCCATGGAATCCAAACCATGAGCCAGTCAACCAGTCTTCATGGAGGGAGACACTCTTCAAAGAGTCAATGTCATCTCTAAGGTTCCCATTCCCTTTCCTAACTAGTTATTGCACTTCGGGGCCAAGCTTTGTCCTCTCCTTGTACTTCCTGATGGACAGAAGCCAGACAAAGCAAGCTGTATCATCAGTGAGTGACTATCTGGTCACAAAATTTAGGATCACAGACAGAGCCCCTCAGCCTATGGACAGTGACGTCCTTGGCTATGAATGCTTGAGGCACTCAGGCAGCTATATTCACTCATGTAGTGAGCCCCACAGACACTTTCTTACCACCACCAGGACCAAACTGGTGCTTAGACCAGCCCTTGTGGTTCTATTATGATTGCAGGACTCACCTCTGCAAAACCATCAGGGAACTTTGAAGAACAAATTTAGGGTCCCATAGGGTACATGGCAGGCTGGACAGCCACACAACAAGGTTGAGGGCAGATAGGGGGGCAGAAAGTGTGGACCTGGGGCTCTGCCTTTATTTAGGTCCCAACAAGAGGTGTCTAGGATTTCACAGTTTACTCTATTGGAGAACTTAAAGCAAAAGAGTGGGAATTTGGGCATAGGAAGGGAGAATTAGGGTCACTCAAATGGTCAGTTACCTGTTACTCAGGGCTTTCTAAAAGGCAGCCTGGGCCCTGGCCAGTTTGGCTCAGTGTGTCGGCCTGCAGACCAAAGAGTCCTGGGTTTGATTTCAGCCAAGAGCACATACCTCGGTTGCAGTTCATCCCCAGCCCTGGTTAAGGTCATGCGGTGGCAACCAATCGATGTGTCTCTCTCACATTGATGTTTCTCTCTCTCTCTCTCTCGCTCTCCCCTCCCCCCACTCTGTCTGAAGATAAATGTAAAAATATCCTTGGGTGAGTATCAAAAAAATAATAATAAGCCCTGGCCGGTTTGGCTCAGCGGTTAGAGCGTCGGCCTGCGGTACAGAGAGACCCGGGTTCGGTTCCCGCTAAGGGCACGTACCTCGGTTGCAGTTTGTCCCCGGCCCTGGTTGGTCGTGCGGGTGGCGACCACTCGATGTGTCCCTTCACATCGATGTTTCTCTCTCTCTATCTTCCTCTCTCTCCCTCTCGCTCTGTCTGAACAAAAAAAATAATAATAATAATAATAATAATTAAATAAATAAATAAATAAAAGGCAGCCTGGTTCTTTATCTAGTTGTTTTGCTGATGGCTGTGTCCTATAGCTGGTAATATGTTTATTAGAGGTCGATGTCTTTGAAATGAATGCCTTGGCAGTCAAAAGCTTAATTTCAGGTACTTAGATTATAATAAAACAGCTTGATGTCAGATACTGACACTATACAATCCCATCCCACCAACTTCACAGTCTCACTAGATCCCACAAAGAGACTAAGGAATAGAATTGCTAACGCACAACCAAGGTGCCTTCAGCAGCACTGTCCTTATTCTACTCTCTGCGTTCTCCAAACTCCGCCCAGGAGGGAACGAAAAGCTGAGATATCGGGGTGGAAGGACTCTGAGGGCCCATCGGGTCCCATTTCCTCATCTTACAGGTAGGGATCACCAAGGCCCAGAAAAATGAAAGATGCTGACTCAATGTCACCCGGCAAGTGAGTGTCAGAGATCAAGTTAAGAGAAAGCTGAGTATCTGAGTTCTTGCCACAGGTCACTAGGGAATTTTCTGATACTGGTGTGAATATAATATTTACTGTGGAGTTAAAGGTAGAGTGGAATAATGGGTCCAAAGAGAAGGAAGGTCATGCCTTCAGTGAGGACAGGGGCTAAAGACACACAGAGTCTGTAAATGTCCAAGTGGTTCCCAGGGCCCCCAAGTAAGGTGAAATTTTCTTGAAAGTAAATGAAAACTCAGAATTTCTTTTTTTTTAAGCAGGAAAAAAAACCTTTATTTCTACCAAATTAAAAGGTATGAATAATCCTCAAACAAGATAATCAAAATAGTCAATAACACCATGAACAGTGAGAAGAGCGTTTGCAGATTAGGTTTAAATCCTCACCCGAGGATATTTTTTCCATTTTTTGTACAGATAGAGTGGGAGGGAGAGAGAGGAAGGAGAGAGAGAGAGAAACATCGACGTGAAGGGACACATCGAGTGGCTGCCACCCGCACGACCAACCAGGGCCGGGGCCAAACTGCAACCGAGGTACGTGCCCTTAGCGGGAACCGAACCCGGGTCTCTCCGGACCGCAGGCCGACGCTCTAACCGCTGAGCCAAACTGGCCAGGGCTGCAGATTAGGTTTAGATAGTTTGAATTAAGCACCTTCACCCAAATCAAGAGGGCGGATGGCTTTCACACTGAGAAGAAGCACTGACTTGTAAACACGTGACTTCTGGGAAAGTGGAGCTGGCATTTCACAGGACAGTAAACCAGAGAGACACCTTGTTGTTAGGTTAGAGAACTGATTTGAGCTTGAAGAGGGATCACAGTGACATGCCGTTGGAACTCAACAATTTCCCCCAGAGATCTGTTCATCTCACAAACAAGAGTATATATATATAAAAAAAAAATCAGTAGTACAAATTCTCATACGACTAGAAAAGCTCTCTCAACCCTGATACCTTGGAGCTTACATAAAGACTGAGTTTTTGTTTTTCTTCCCTTTATTCTTCTCTAAATTAAATAGAGATCGGTTCGTTTTTATTTAGTACATTTCTGTCTTTATGGTCAAAGCTTTAAAATGAAGCCAGGCTAGTGTGGCCTCAGTGGTTTAACGTCAACCCATGCACCAAGAGGTCGCCAGTTTGATTCCCAGTCAGGGCACATGCCCAGGTTGCAGGCTCAACCCCCAGTAGGGGGCGTGCAGGAGGCAGCTGATGGATGTTTCTCTCTCACATCGATGTTTCTATCTCTCTCCCTCTCTCTCCAAAAAAAAAAAAAAAAAAAAATCAATAAAAGAGTAATTTTTAAAAAATGACTCTGGTTTATGAATTGTCTCTCTGACAAAATTAACTGCAGCAAGAAAAGATGCTGTTCAATGAAAGGTAACAAATGAAATTCATCAGGTAGATGCGCATGCCTCCCGAGGTCATGTAACCCAGCAGAGTGTAGGTGAGACATACACCTCCTGTGCAACTACCACCAGGACCTCCATTTCCTGTCTCAGCACCAGAGCCCCAAAAAGCAAAGGTCCCAGGAAGCAGCAAACACATAATTTTACCTATTAGTGAATGGAGAGCTCAAACTAAAGAAAGGTACCAAAAAGGCCCTTACAAATTTTCTGACTAATCCCTATAGGTGCATGAAAACACAGATTCATGTAAACAGGATTATTTCCGTTTTAAATACAAGGAGGCAAGACCATTGAAGTAATATCTACTACCTGCCTAGGGTAATTGTTGAAGATTAAATTAGACAATGCATGTAATGTGCTTAGTATGAAGTACCAATAAACAGTAGCTACTGAGCATGCCTATTCCGTAACACATCTGGAAATGTGTGGTCTTTATGATTTGAACAAAGACGCCCAGCAGGCTGGTATACTGTTTAGACAAACAGCTAAAGTCAAATATTAAACCCAGGTTCTAGTGAGCTCAGCTTTTTTTTTTAAATCCTCACCTGAGGACATTTGTGCATGTATCTTCAGATAAAGCGAGAAGAAGAGAGGGAGGGAGAGAGAGAGAGAAACATTGATGTGAGAGAGACACATCAAGTGGTTGCCACTCACACGACCCCAGCCGGGGCCGAGGACAAACAGCAAACAAGGCACGTGCCCTTAGCAGGAACCGAACTCAGGACTCTCTGGTCCGCGGGCTGACACTCTACCAGTGGTTCTCAACCTTCCTAATGCCGTGACCCTTTAATATGATTCACTCATGTTGTGGTGAACCCCAACCATGAAATTATTTTTGTTGCTACTTCATAACTGTAATTTTGCTACTGTTATGTCTTAGGCGACCCCTGTGAAAGGGTCGTTCGACTCCCAAAGGGGTCGTGACCCACAGGTTGAGAACCGCTTAACCGCTGAGCCAAACCGGCCAGGGCGAACTCAGTTTTATCAAAGCTCTAATTATGGGTTTGCACACGCATCTTTCTATCAAACATTATCCTGTCTCAACAA